CCTAAACTCTGACATAGACAGAGGCTAGTGTTTTTATAAGCTTTATTTTCAAGGAACACATGAGAAATGTTTGAGAGCCAAAACATTTCTTTACTGTAAAAGCATTGTTTTTCTTTCATGAAATATTAATTTTGGATCAGGTGGAATGCAGGAGAAATGTCTATGAGCAAATGTCTCTGCACGCTCACTTAGAGCACCAGGGATTTCCCAGGAGAGAACAGGACTTCCCCAGGACAAGGAGGAAACTACATGATCCATTGCTTTATGTAGTCCCACCTGTTTAGTGAGCTTATGATACTACTAGAGGCCCAATGCATGAAGATTTGTGCAAGAATGGGCCTTCCTTCCCCTGGCTTCTGGCTCCACCTTCACTCTGGCCGGAGCTGCCTTTCTGCCTTCCTGCCTTCCTGCCTTCTCATGCTGCCCAAAGGCCCCACCCCCAGCTGCTTCGTATCTCCATATGCAAATTGACTTGCCATCTTTGTTGAGTTGATTTGCATACTCACTCCTGATTGGCTGGTGGGTGTCGAGAAGGTATGGTAATTATCATGTTACTCTTTTATTTGGTAGATAAGGGTATAATTAGTCCTGGATTAAAACCTATGCCCAAATCCAACCTATTGATAAAGCATGTTTTTTTCTCCTGACACAGGCACTGAGTCCCCAGGCTCAAAATCATAAGGATGTTCCTCATCTGTAGCACCTGGTTTTGTTTTTTTTTATTTTAGTTTACTTTTCTGAAATATTTATGTTTTAACCATTAAATCCATTGTCTTTCCAAAATGCCTTTCAATCCCAAAGAAATTTGTGAGCTAATCAAACATAATCAGTTATCCGGCATAGATGACTGGGGCAGGAACCCCTTTACTGCCAGGCTCCAACTGGTGCTGTGTACCTCTTTCACAGGGATCCCTTTCTACCTGGAGGGTAGTGCCTGAGCCTTATAGGGAGACAACAGAAGACAGAGCAGTGTTTCTCAAACTGGGGTTCATTTTGGAAACCCAAAGACCCACAACTTCTTTGGAGACTATAAGTCTCATGGGAACTCTATTATTAAAATGAAAGCATGGATTTCTAAGTCAAACAAAATGAATTATGAACATATCCTGCCTCCTCTGCCCATACCATAGAACCTGGTATACAGTTCAGCAAGTTTTCTGCTCAGGTTGGCATTTATGATTCAACGTGCATTTGGTGTCTAAGTTGCAGTACAGTTGGCATTGTTCCTTGCTGGAGAAATAAACAGGCATCATGACAAGGGGTGGCCTCACCCTGTGATTCCCAGGGGCTCCTCTGGCCCAGCCTCTCCCTGACCTTTAGCCCCTATAGGCAGGCTTTGACTTTTCATGAGGCTCTGAGGGCTGTACCAGTGTCCCCACACAGAGCCATGCTAGACAGATCAGTCCCATTTGTACCAAGTGCCCTGCTGTGACTGACAGATGGCACCTGAGTGTCACGTCCACAGCAAAAGCCAAGCTTAGGCTTGAGGGCTGCAGGTAATCAGGAAGGGAAGCTGGGACAATGCCCCGGTTCCTCTAGAAAGCGAATGTGAAAACACGATGAGATTCCCCTGTAGCTGGGGCTCTGCAGATTCACTGGGTCCCTGAGTCAAAGCAACCACAGGAAGCCCTGACAGAGCCCTTTGACCTCAGGCAGTCTCCAGATCCCAAAACCCTTGGAGAAAGACCTACAGCCCTGGGGGGCTCCGCAGCTTGGAGTCCCACCCCCTTCCATGATCAGAGCCCAGCTGCAGTCAGGGTTACTTCTAATGCACTTGGTAAAGGAGCTGGGAAGAACCTCCTCTACTGATCCCACAAGTTGATGCCTGGGTCCCCTCTGGGGGTGGTTGGGGCAGGAACCTCCCTATAAGACTGCATGCCTGTAACACCTTTAGTTCCACTATTATTTGCAGTTACGTGGTTAGTCTAACTCAGTGGTCAGCAAACTGCGACTCGAGAGCCACATGCGGCTCTTTGGCCCCTTGAGTGTGGCTCTTCCACAAAATATCACGTGCAGGTATGCACATACAGTGCGATTAAAACTTCATGGCCCATGTGCAGAGGTCAATTTTTGGCTCTCAAAAGAAATTTCAATCATTATACTGTTGACATTTGACTCTGTTGACTAATGAGTTTGCCAACCACTGATCTAACTTATTACAATCATTTACATCGCTATGGGGAAAACACACAAGGCCCATGAGGGCAGAGCATTGCTCAGTGGTCGCTGCATCCTGATATCTGGGCAATGCCTGGCACATAGTAGATCCTCAATAAATGTTTGCAGAATACACGGACAAATTCCACCTTGAGGACAGGCACGGGAGCCTGGGTCTTCCTCACTCGTGGCCTGTAGATGAAATTGACAGGATTGGCTGTTTGGTGAGATTAGATGTTCCCAGCGTTGTCTTGGTCATAAATGTTTGGGCGAGGTACATTTTCTTGAAACATTTCATTGAAAATTTGCTCAGAAATAACTCTAAATGTGCGGAGGACTCTTTATGAGCAATGACAGTTCCTGGGTTTCTTAGGGTGAGCTTGGAACCCAAAGGCAAAGGAAAGTGTGGTTATTTGGTACCTTCCCCAAGAATGAGAAATGTCAGCGAGTGGATCTGGACAGACCGATGGACAGGACTGACGCTCTCATGTCTGCTTCCGTCTGCCCCACTGCCCGTTAGAATACCTGAGACATCAGAAAAGTATCAAACCTGGGCTCCTCCCCAGAACAAGAGTCAAACTTCCTGGGACGCCAGGACTTTGTAAGGCTCCGCAGGTCACTCCTATGCAGGCAGATGTGAGAGCCAGTGCTTACCCCGCCGGTGGTTCTGTCTGAACAGCAGGTCAGGGCTTATCATTTCCTGAGACTGAAACCTGAAGCTGATATAGGACACTTTGCTCATCTTAAAGTTCAAGTGAATGTTAATAACGACTGCTCCACATCTCAGATATCTTATGTCCTCATGTTCTCCTCAGGTTAGCTGTTGTGTTGTGCCCATTTTACAGATAAGCAAACTGAGGCTCCGAATGCGTAGAGTTGTCCAAACACATCACAAAATCATGTCCGGGCCAGTGGTTTGCAGCACCAGCTTATTCCACACGAGGTGCAGAGCAGGTTCCTTAAGGTCACTCTGGGTTTGTATGAAGTAAGAATGACAGATCCTATGGGGAGCCTGTGGCAGGGGCGGGAGACGCATGACAGGCATTTAGGTCCACTCCATTTTCTGGGTTAATAACACACGTCAGGAGGAGAAGGGCCTTGCCTTTCAGTGGTCTGTTACCTCCATGAAACCATGGACCTGACCCTGCCTGACCGCGCACATCTCCGTCTCACCACCTCCTTTACTAAGGGGCTCAGATCGGGTGAGAGGGGCTGGGGGCTCTCAGATAGGCCTTGGTCTGTGCCAACCATAGCCGCTTCCTCAGACAGTGCCATTCATTCTGTCCAGCTGGGGACATCCCCCGGCTGCTCACACTCCATGCCGGACACTAAGACTCCAAGCTCTGCTCTGGAAATGCCAGAAAAGCTTGGTTCTCTCTGTGAGATTTTGAAATTATTTTCATATGATATCAGTTTTGAGCTTGTATTAAAATTTCAAAACACAAGCTTCATAAGCACTGGGGTTCCAGGTCAAACGGTTCACAAAGATTTTCGTTCAGGACGCCTGCTGCCCCCCCCCCCTCACCTGTACCCCCACACCTGTCCTGTGTGCCCGCCTTGGGCAGACTCTCCGTAGTTGTGCTCTGTAAGGAAATGAGAGAAGACGGGAACATGTAAGAAACGGAATAGCATATTTCCAAATCTTTAAAGCCATTTTATTTGTCACCAAGTAAGAAAGGACTGCAGTTTCTTAAATGACGTTTTTTATGGGAACTTTGAGCTGGAAGAGACCTATTGGGACCAGTTGGCTCATTTTCCAGGTGAGAAAAAAAAAAAGACCCCAAGTGTCCCAATGCCTCGTTCAAGGCTGCAGGATGGATAGCAGCCAGGCAGAGAACAGCTCCCCTGACCATCTGCCCAGGTCCCTGGTCCAAGGTGGTAAGCATCGAAGGGGACAGTCCACCCCTTGTGGACCCTTCATTCTGAGCCACTCGCCTGGGAGCGGGTCCGTGAGCCCAGACATACATCACCCGTTCCAGTGCCGCCTCAACACCAGCTCCTGCTGAGTTTGGCCCAGGGGAGGCAGTAGCAGGTAATTCATAGGGAGAGGGGCAGAGTGGGGGCAGGGCAGGGGGATGAGATGGGGATTCTTGTTCTGCCCGCTGCAGCGCCTTCCCTGCGGGTCTTTGGGCTGAAACCACCCCCTTCTCCTTCCATCAGGCTTGTCTCTGGGTTCCACTGGCCCCCGTCCCCCCGCCAGGCGCAGGCAGGGGCGGTGACAGCAGGTCTTTGTGGAAGTGACATAAAGCCCTATTGGCTCCTCCCAAAGAGGGCCCCTGCTGCTGGGACTTGTAGGGTGAACGGCTCATGATCCCTCCTGTGTGGGCAGACACCAGCCCCCAATAAAATGCACTGTCCCGTGTGAAACAGCGTGAACGCAACTCCGGCAAACATTTCATGGCCAAGTTACCGTCAGAGCAAACACATGCCTTTCCTACAAGCACAGGCACCCCAGAGCAGAGCCAGTGAAGCAGGGCTGCTGGACCTGCATGCCCGGGGGAGGCGCACATTGCCCGCCAGGGACACCCGGCTGGGATGGGTCTCCCAGCCCCCGCTCCCTCCCCGGGGCAGATGCGGGCAGAAGCGATGCTGGCTGACAGAAAGAGGACAGCCTGTCAGGGAGGGAGCCCCGCCCCCACCCGCTCCAGAAATAAACCAATTTTCAACCTGGAGGGATCCGCTCTCTGTCTCCTCGGAGCAGGCACCTGCATCCCATTTTAACAAGAAGTGACAGGCGCATGTTCGCCAGAATTAGAACATGACGTGTGAGGCCCGCTAACGGTGTGCCCTTCTCTCCACAGGCTGAGCTGAAGGTCCCTCTCCTTCGCCCGGTGCCACGAGCTATGAACAGGCAGTAAGTACCTCTGTGTGTGCACTCCAACCTCCTAATGGGGGCAGGACTCAGATCATGGACTCAAACTAAGGAAGAATGCTAATGCACCCCCCACCCGTGGGAAGGGCATTTCCAAGGCCAAAGCGAAGCCTGAGAGGCCAGGGTCAAGGGTGCACATGTGGGAGTCAGTGATACCTTGCCCGGTCCCAGCGTGCTTTTTGCCAGCAGGCCACTTGTCCCCAAAACAGGTGCGTAGTGGGGGCAGGGACGAGGTTCCCAGTACCAGCATACCCCAAGGATGCCAGAAATATCACCCATCACTTCCCACCAGTGTGAGGGTAGAACTAAAGGACCAGAGGTTGGCACGCATGTTTCCACAGCAGAGAACCTGGATCCCCTCTGAGGGTCCCCCTCCCCCCCTCCCCACTCGGGGGGCCACATGAATGGGGAGGGGGGCAGGAGTATCCTTAGAGGAAACCCTCAGAGTGGGTGTGCGCTTGGTATAGGATTTCCAGTGTGTGCCTGACCTGGCCAAACTCCATCAGCTCCTGTTCTGTGTAAATACCATACGGTAAAACAAACAAACAAAAATGGTAGGCCTCCACATTGTAAGAAATATTTACAATTGGGGGAGGGGGGTGTTAAAGTGGAGAAAACCTGGTGTCCTGATTTTAAACCCCATCTGTGGTCTGTGCGTTTGCTTTGGCTTGCCAATGGAAGGGCAGTGCTGTCACTCTCTGTGGGGAAGGAGAAGCAGAGGGTGCAGGGGAGCGTCTAAGCTCCACGCCTCGTCTTAGAGCGGATGGTGCTGGGGAGGCAGCTACCGCTCTGGGTATGGAAGAGCTGCTTTACCCTCCCTCTGGGAACCAAGGTCTGGCCTGGGGAGGAAGGCTGCCAGGTTTCTGGGTGCATTCCCAGGCCCAGAAGAACCCTGGTTACAGGGTAACTAGCCAATGCTCCCGAGAGGGCATTGGGCACAGGGTTGGTGTCCAGGGTGACAGGGAGGCAGCACACCCAGCACCCAGCATCAGGCTAAGCACTGAGCTCCATGCCTCTGCTTTAAAGAGGAATGAGAGCTGGCGGGTGTGGCTCAGTGGTTAAGCTTCGACCTATGAACCAGGAGCTCAGGGCACATGCCTAAATTTCGGGCTTGATCCCCATTGTGGAGGGTGGGAGAGGCAGTGCAGGAGACAGCCAATCAATGATTCTCATCATTGATATTTCTATCTCTCTCTCCCTCTCCCTTCTTCTCTGAAATCAATAAAAATATATATATATTTTTTTTAAATGAAAAATAAAGGGGAATGAGATCTAGTCTCCCCTCTAAGAACACGACTTGCATTAAGCAAGTCATTTTAGCATTATTTAAAAAAAGAAAGCTCCCCATATGCTAAGGAATCCGATGTTATGGATTCTAAATTGCTCCTGAAGTTGGATGGCCATCTCACTGAACTCTCCCTGCAGCAGAGCCCACTGCTTCCCTAAAGATGCACCGGCCTCAATGATGACGCTGCATTCCTCCCAGCTCCTCCCAGCAGCAGGGGAGGTGGTGGGGAGAAGTGTTGGAGCAGAGCAGATAGGCAGCCGGCCCCATTGACCACAGGGCTGGGGAAGGGAGTGCTGTCCAGCTTCCGGGGCCTCTTCACCACTAGGGGCAGTGCTGATAAGTAGCTCAGTGCTCAGCCCTGAGTGCTCCGGCAAAGATGGAGGCCATGAGAGTGATGGCCCTGGGCCTGGCCGGTCTGCTTTGGGGACTCAGGAAGAGGCTCCCTCATACCCCAATTGGGGACGGATGACAGAGCAAGAACCCCCGAAGGGCCCAAGAGTAAACCATGCAGATTGCTTGTCATCTTTCTATATCTTCGTGTCACAGGTTAAAATTTCATGAAACCTACTTTTGAAACTCATGTCATTTCCAGTCACTCATTCAATGATACTACCGTGTTTCCCCGAAAATAAGACATCCTCCTAAAATAAGATCTAGCACATGGAAAGATAAGACATCCCCTGAAAATAAGACCTAGCGCAACTTGGGGAGAAAAAAATTAATATAAGACACTGTCTTATTTTTGGGGAAACAGGGTATCTTATATTATGAGTTATTTATTATGAAATCTTCTTCAAAATCCCGGTGTTTAAAGGCTGGACTTATATACAGTTCATGATCCCGTATCCAAGTCAAAAGGCTTCAAAGTGCTGGGAGATTTTTGTAACTCATTTGACAGCAAAACTGGGCCTGCAATGAGGAGACGTTACATGCATTCTCTATTTCTCCCTCTTTGCGGGAACGTCCACAAGTTTCACTGTGGAAATATGCATACATTTTGACTGGGTGTTGCTCAGACCTTCTCAGAGATAATCCAGAATATTCAGTACATGCACAGTATTGCTTTTCCAAAACCCAAAACATTCCAAATCCCGGAGCCTGTGGAATTTGGATATAGAAGGGTGGACCTGCCAAAACCGGTTTGGCTCAGTGGTAAAGCATCGGTCTGCGGACTGAAAGGTCCCAGGTTCGATACCAGTCAAGGGCATGTACCTTGGTTGTGGGCACATCCCCAGTAGGGGGTGTGCAAGAGGCAGCTGGTCGATGTTTCTTTCTCATCGACGTTTCTAGCTCTCTATATCTCTCCCTTCCTCTCTGTAAAAAAAATCAATAAAATATATTTTTTTAAAAAGAGAGAGAGTGGACCTGCCTTCTATCCAGCGGTTCATTTTATCTTGCTTGACCTTGGCGTTGGACGTTTCTGTTTGTGACCTATAAAGTTTCATGAGGCAGTTTTACTGCCAACATTAAACCTAAAACTATGGCACTACGGTCCCCGCGCTCGCGGTGGCCATGCCGTGTGTCCCGTCACGTGTGACACCATTATCCTGTGAGAGTCTGTTCTTATCTGGGAACTCGGGTTCAGTCAAAGTCTGAGACAGGAACCTCATATTTCTTTTCTTGCACCGGGGAGCTGATCTCCTCTGTTTGTTTATTTTGGAAAGCGTTTTGATGGTAAAGAAAACATAACAGAGTGTGAGCGCCGGGAAAGCCTCGGAGGTGTGGCGTTCACGACCTGCACATGGTTCTAACCGCTTTATGAGACAGAAGGAGGCCCTTCTTGAAACCTGACAAAGGGCTGGCGACCTTCTGAGACCGTGAGTTAGGAGAGTGTATTGACATCAGAAAATTCCTCTCTGGATTGACATCAGAAAGCCAGCCTTGAGGCAGTGTTAACATTGACCCCATGCAGTTTGCTCAGCAAACAAGAACACTTTCCAGCAATGCTACCCCACGTGACTGCTGCGTCTAGTTGTGAGGATGAAAGAAGCGGGAAGAGGACACAGTATCCCCCAGGCCAGGCACTCTGCAGGACGATTTGCCTTCTCACCACTCAGCGCTCACACCCCTCCCAAGACACCACATCAGACCCCCGCCTCGGGATAGCACTGTCCTTGACTCAGAGCCACTTATCTCTGACTCCCAAAGCCGTGGTCTTGTGCCCCGTGGAATTGCTTCCCGGTGATTGGGAACCTCACCCTGGTCTACCTCTCATCAGTGAAGCATCCCCAACTGAATGGCTGCTTTGCTTTGAAAGGCCTATTTCTTCTTGGAAACCTTGCACAACCAAAGTCACTCAGTCAGTTCTTCTCAAAAATGTCCAGCTCTTCAACAATAAAGATAATTTTTTAAAGGGCCCAGCTCAATATCCAACTCAGTGCCCAATAAACAAACACTCTCCTCCCTATATCTGCAGGGCAAGACTCCTCCTAAACTCAGGTCATTATTTCCCTTCATGATGATTGTGAACAACCCCTGCCTTTAACCTCAGAGAGGGAATGCGTTTTGATTTACAGCAATTAATAAGTGTAAATCCCACAGAATCTTGGGGTAGGAGGCGCCCCGATTTTGGCATCCTGAGATCAGAGGCTGGCCCCTGGCTGAGTAGTCAGGGTGGCCACCTTGCTCATTACCCAGAGGTTGTTATGAACCATCTCTCAGTCCAACCAGGCCCATGCTCTGCTGCTATCAAAGCACATTCCGAGGATTCGGCTCTGTGGTTGGCTGGCAATTAAAAAGCACCAAGCTGAGAGAGAGCAGAGCCGAGACACAGGTGAGAGTCTGCCAGGCGCTGCAGACAGGGCCGGGGGGACCTTTGCAGGAGCAGCAAGTATGTTCAGCCCTGGACCTCAGGAAGAGGGGCAGTGATGAGGGGGTGGAGGATTGGAAGATACCCTCCTCTCTCAACAGCAAAACTGCCCATTGGGGAAGGAACGAGCTGGCTTCACTCTCCCTGCTACTTGGAAAACTTCCCACTGAAAGCACATGTCTCCTGCCCACTGTCCACGACGTTGGCTTTCTGCTAATCGTGGCCTTTCAGAATGTCACAAAGAATAAAAAAGTCTGTGACTTACTTCCATATTTGAGTTTGTTATCATATAAGTAACGCAATTCACTGGAAATTTAAAACATATATTTATACACACACACACACACACACACACACACACACAGAGAGAGAGAGAGAGAGAGAAAAGCTGCCACTACTCAACGTGCTAAAAGCCGTCAGCATCATGGGATGGTTCCTCTGAGACTTTCTCCTACAACTATGCATCCTATTTGGTCTCAGACCTTTCATATATCATTACTATCTTCCAGTGTTACTCAAGTCATTTTTATAGCCATGCAATCTCCCATCATTTAGGCGTCTCATGTTTTATGTTCTTCCTCTGCTAGGATACAACACAACTCATGGAATAATTTGACAAGTTCTATTAATATAATCATGTCTAAATGTTAGGAGGCTGTTTTATTACCTGCTAAGAAGCAAAACCAACCACCCCAGGGACTCTTTCTTATAAGCCAGGCCAGCGTTTGGAGAACCCAACCCACAATGACAGTTTATAAGGATCACGTAGTATTTGAAGATGTACATGTGCAGAGAAATTGCAAAGGAGTTCCTGCATGTATGGTTGGGGACTCCACGGAGGCCATTCTACCTTCCAGGCACCCCAGTCTCCCCCACAGATAAGAG